CCCCCCCCATGATAAATGGAATTAATACTTAAATAATGATAATAATATCTAAGTAGCCAGCGAATTTATCACCCGTTCCTAGAGTGTCAGTGAATATCATGGTAAATAGGATTAGACAACTTCTTGAGAAGATCTGTGGTGAAGAGCCGTCCCGATTCAGGGCAAACAGGATATTTGGACAAGATATTTGCAATTATACAGCTAATGAAAACGTAGGGAGAACGGAGAATCAAATTCTTTGAATTATTCATCAATTTCGCAAATGCGTTTGACTCAATCTGACGAGGTGCCATGCGGTATCCTGGTGAACAATGCGGAATCCTGTCAAAGATTATTCGCATAACTAAAAGTTATGGTTATTCATCAAGCACAGTGCAAATTTATGGTAAGTTCAGAAAATTTCAGCGCAAAGCAATTGGAGTAAGGTAAGAAGTTGCGAAATCTCCACTGCTACTTGAGATGTTTCTTGACTGGATGGTCCAGCCAATACGGAGCTAAGCTAAGACCACAAGAGTTGGCAACAGCTGCGTAAACTCTCTTGCGTTTGAGCATGACACCTTACTGCTGGCAGATAACTTCGAAGTTGCGACGTCACTGCTGCTAACTCTGAAACAGAAATGTTCCGATCTGGGTCTCTTGTTTAACTGAAGAAGACAAAGTAAACAAAATCTAGTAGAACCAAAGCCAAGGACTGTCTGACCTTTGACGTCGAAGTTGTGGAAAAGTACCAGAACATCTGTATGTTGGGAGTACATTGCTGTGCGCTGGCTTCACTAGCGAAGAATTCACTATTCAAGGTCTGGAAGGACAAATAGTTCGGCAATAAAACCAAGCTGTGCATTTACAGATATTTCACTTTCAACTCCTTCTCTGCGCATCGCTTGGAGACATAGCGCTTAACGAGGCAGAAAACGAAAAACTACAGGATTTGAGGATCAACATTAGGAGCTAAGTAGCATCATCTGGTGTCATAAAATGGCAATTAAGATATCCAGCGGTAGTAGCAAATGTTTACAATAGTGGAGGCATCGCCAACGTATGGATGTTAGCTGTCTTGTGAAGCAAATGCTAAACGTACAGTCACCAGAAAGACGTCCATCAAGATGGA